GCTTCTCTAAGGAAGATTTTGCTTTTATTAATTTCTTATGTGTTCATATTTGGGCCCTTGTCTTTGTGTATGCTGAATGCTCTGGGGGAAAATCCTGCTATTAAAGATTTGCAACTAGTTTCTGTGATATCTCTGATATTTAGTGTCCTGCTATTACGGTTGACAGAATAGATATATTACAATGACCCTGAGACAGATTTCAGAATTCATTGTGCTTTAGGTTCCCACTGTTATTCTCCCATTTTTTGGTTAGATTTTTTCTAAAAATTCTGAAAAAGGCACAAATGTATCTTTTTGAAGGAGGAGTTCCTGTGCTGCTCAAAAGAAATATAGTCACCATAGCATCTTAGATGCTAAGTAGTTCTCACATGGCAGGAGCTGTGCAGCTGAGCAGTCGCTCAGCGAGTTCAAGGTTAAAAAGCAGGGATTACCTGTGTCACTTTTCTGCCTATATGTTTACTCCAAAGCCAGAATAAAAATGGACCCACAGAGTTTCTGGCCAGTTCAGAATCACAAAATTATTGAGGTTGAAAGGGACCTCTTGAGATAATATTATCCACCCCCCAGCTCAAGGTTCTCTTCACTGACTTTAAATTTACATGTGAATCTAGAAAAAAGTGTAACTATCGCTATAATTAATGTCTCTCTGCTCTTGCTTCTGAATGTTTAACCTTTTTTGCTTCATTGTTATGTGTGTCCTGCTACCCTCTGTAAACTCCATGTCTTAAGGAAAGTATCCAAACAATGGAATAAAACGCAAACAAAAAACCCCTTCCTGTTGCACCAGAACCTCTACAATTAGAACAGGATACTTACTTCAGTGTGGTTCTTGAAGCTCGATATCTTCTGAAAGCTTCTGATTTCAGGGTGCTTAGCTTGACTGAAAATTAAAATGCTGTTTAGAAGCTGTTTTGATGCAGGCTGCACTTCCTTTGCTTCCCACTTTTATCATAAGATCCAAGCTCCAGCCATGTTACTGATCCTCTTCATCCCTTGGCCAGGGTACAGTGTAAGACTTCTACTCTCAGGTCTCCTAACTCCTCACCAGCACAAATAGCTCAATCCTTTTTTTGTCCTGCTGGATGGGCAAGGCTCTGGATGGACTGGAGCTAATGTGTGTGCTCGTTTTGGCTGGCCAAAAAAGAGGTATGTGTGTTTTTGATTGACTATGCAGCTGGCAGTTAAACACGGTTTTTGTGGCTGGCATATCACCAAGTGGCCTTGGTCGCTGCCTGTTGTGTAAGCATAGCCAAAGAGCTTCCAAACTTTGCTGCTGCTAGCTAGACTGAGTGTATGCATCTTGCATTGACAGTTTGGACATGGAACACTTTATCTTAGAGGAATCAAAACTGTTGGTGTTTCTAAGTACATAGCTTGATGCAAAGTAGAAGCATAACCTATGTAAAGCAGTGATTTAAAAGTATGAGCTATGGAAAAGGAAAAGCATAACACATGGGAAAGTAATGCTTTGTATTTTGTGTTACACTTCTCTCATACATCAAAGAAGGCAAAGCAGCCTTCAGTAGAACAGAAATTTGAAAGACTTTTAATATGTAATGAGTGGGAAAAAGTTGCATTGAAACAAGATTTATCATATGAGGTACCTAAAGTATCTTGATTTTCTAACATAACAACAAGGAAGCAGTCAAGAATAAAATATAGTCTGTCTACAGTTGGGGGCGGGGAAAAAAGAATAACTATTTGTAAAGCACTCAGGCGAAACTAAACAAAAAATAATCTTCATCATAGTTTTTTTTATATGTGGCAGTACAAATCTGCAAATAGTCTTGTATCCAAATTACCGTGTAGTAAATTAATTATCATTCAAAACGCTCAGACGCTTAAGTCTTACTGGCGGAGGATGAACCGTGCTATTGGTTTTTATATCGCACATAGCTTCTCCATGAAAAAATTCTGTTCCTTGATGTTATAGAATATTTGAAAAAATACTTTAATAAAAAGGATCAAGTTAAAATTTCTGCAATCAAATTGATCCCCGACACTCAGGAAACATAAGGCAGGAGTCTGATCTCTCCAAGCTGTGGAAAGAGCTTGACTCAGCCTTGGAAGTATTTTGTTCTCTCTGTTGACTTATAGGATGGCTAGACTTCATCTCCATGCCAAAAAGTAGATTAATTTAGACTGTATGTTCTGTTGTTCACTCCTTGGATGTTTCTATATAGTCAAATAAGCCATGATCCAAAAATGGCACTTTTATTACCTTAAATGTGGATTGTGAAATTCAGTCATATTACAGAGTACTTTACTGAAATTATTGAATGAAACTTGTAATAGGTAATACAAGAAGAGTGCTGTCTGTAGTTACTCTAGAAACACAGATATAATTAGATAAAGAGTTATCCCTGCTTTATCAGTTCAGGAAGAACTCTGCCCAATCATGCAGTTGCTGGACCATGCTTTGAGTTGATGGTAGTTTTGAGTAGTGGTTAAATTTGAGCAACAATGGAATTGGCATATTTCACAGCCAGAAGGGTAAGAAAAAAAGTCTTCTGGGTTTGGGAGCTCCTGGGTTTCTAAAGCTATGACATGTAAAATAGGTAGCAGGGAACGTGTGCAGCCAGACTTCTATACACAGTGGGTTTTTTAGAGGTTTTTTCTTTTGCTTTTTATCCTTGTGGTATACTGATAGTAATTCAAGTTTATTTAGGCCATTTGGGAAGCTCATTTTACCACTCTTTGAGTAGTAGCCATAAAAATAAATTCAACTGCTCTTGAACATTTCTAGATGAAGTTTCACTGGGTTTAGAAGTATTTTCTGTTTGAGTTTCAGACACTTTTTAATACTTACTTACCATTTTTTCCTTTTTGGAGGATTGGATAGCTTTGGTCAAAGCTGCTGCTGCAGCAGCAGCCAAGAACAAAGCAGGAAGTAAACCTAGAACCAGTGCAAACAGCAATAAAGATAAAGAGGACAGAAAATGGCTAAAAGTTCCTTCAAAAAAGGAAGAAACCTCAACCTCTGCAATCATGCAGGAAGCCCAAAAAAAGGAAGAGGAACCTACATCTAGTGACACATTTGGTAAAAACAAATTCTATAAAAGATAAAACAGGTTTTTGTGTAATGTTGAAGTAGAATTCCTGTTAATTTTGCAGTTAAGTAATAAGTAGTATTTCTAGAGGAAGTTGCTTCATTTGCTATTATGGTAACTTTATGATACATAATATTAATCAATTCAGAAACAATTTTAATTAGATAAATCTAGTTCAGTCAGCATTTACTCCTTCAGCAAAACTTCTAATTAGCTCTAACAAGAGCAGAACATAATTTTGTTTTGAATGACTTCATTGTACACTTTGGCTCATATTCCTGCACCTTCCGTTACCTGTGAGAGAATCCCTGATTTTGTTCTAAGAAAAAAAATATTCTGATATGGATGATATATCTGTATTCAGGGATATTTGAAACTATTTCTGGGTTGATAACAATTTGTTCATTTTAATAGTCTTTAATACTGATGTCTCAATAATGTTGAGTAAAGATTACAGATTTTGAGGTAATCTGCATCTAATGCTTCAATGTATAGTACTAAATCTTCAGAATGTGTCACTTTCATTTTTAATAGAATTTTAAAGCTTCTTTACTGCAGTATTCTAATAGCAGTTCTGAAATATTTACGTATTTTGAGTGTTTTTATGTATTTATGAAATGTGAGTTTATTAGATTTCTCTTCTGTTTAAAAGTAGGATTTCCTGTAGTGGATGTTCCAAAGATGGCCTTTGTGCAGGCAGAGAGCACGTTATCACACAAGAGGAAAAGTAATTTAGGCAACTCATTTCAGGCAAAGAGAGCTCGTCTTAACAAGATCACTGGTAAAATACTTTTTGTTGTTGTTGACTTTTTTCCTTTTTAATGTAGTGGAATATACATGTTTACATATAAGGTACTAAAGCAGATTGATAAAAGCACGTTCACTATGGTCTTTCTCTTGCTTGGAATTGTGAAGGAATCTGTAAATGGTAATAAAATCTATCTTGCTCATAAATTCAGAGAATGGTCTCAGACTTGACTTGGTATTTTTTAGTTTTTTAGGAAGGTAGTAATCCTGATTAATTTCTTGAATATGTTTTAACTCCAGCTGCACAATTTTCTCCATTACTGGGTGAATTTGGGGTTTGTACAACTTCTTAACATGGTCAGGAGTTGCATACCACCACTGTAAATTAAAGCTTTTGTTAGCTGTGGAAAAACTAAATGTTTTGTCATGATTTGTCATAAAGTAAAACTGTTGCTGAAAAGTGTTTACAGTAAGTCACTTTAAAATATACAAGCCTAGCTACAAATTGAAGCAATGAAGATCTCAAATGTTTTTTTTTCTAGTGTCTAAGGCATTCATACATTTATTACTCAAAAGTATTAATGGAAAACAAGTATACAGCTATAGAATACATTTTATAGAACAGGAAATGGAATAATAGATAACTGGTCTTGTCTTTAAAAGTTGAAAAATGCATTTTATTCCAAAATTTAATAGAAATTTATGTAACTGTGAAAAAATTATTTCAGTTTGTATCCTTCCTCCCCCATGCCTCCCAATAAGCAAATTGTGTTGCCAGCATTGGTCCTGTCAGTATTTAGGATGAGTTAATATGTTTGTACCTGTGCTGGGAAAGTATCAGATGCACTTCAAAAGCTGAGTGGAAAACAGTTATGAAGTCCCCCACTTAAGAGGGGCTCTTGGACAGATGGCAAGTTAGAAATGCGTTGCACTCATTATTCTAGTAAATAATATTTTGTGTGAAGTCTGGCAAACTTTTCTATGCTACAGATGAGAGGGGTTGGTTGGTTGGTTGGTTTTTGTAGTAGATAGGGTGTGGTCATTCATATAAAAAGTCTTACTTGTTTCTATAAGATAAATATATCATTCAGTTTACTAAATCAGGTTGAGGTTTTTTTCAGACTTGTTTTGGCTGATCTGACCTTTCATAGGTCAGCAATGGAGGATGTTTAGTCAGTTTTCTTACGAGTGTGGCTCTGTTTCTGTCTCTCAATCAGTACTTCAATCTAAAGGAGAAAATAAATGAAATGAACCAGTATGGAACATGATATGAAGGAAGCAGTCTTTAGAAAAACCCATCTTCTGCCTCCAGAGTTTTCTTTCCTGGAAGGGTTCTTATTTGGTACCAAGTTTAGTTAACAGATGTCTGATTTATCAGCCTCATTTCTACTCTCCTTTGCCCATACTGCATACACCTTCAGTTAAGTCCCAATTTAATTGCTGCCATAAGCAGTAGAAGGTATATATATACCACTGAGATATGTTTGCGGAATCCTGTTAATTTCTTTCCAATAACTGTTCTTAGCAGAAGATACCACAACTAGCTGAAAAACCTGTAGCTAGAAGTTACATTTTTCTGTGCTTGTGGATAGATTCTCTTTCCTAAGGAGCTTTATGAGTATAATAGCAGTTGGATGGACTCGTACAGACTGAACTGAATAATCAGAAAACAGTGTTGCAGACATTGACTTTTATCATTCTAAGAACAGTGTCTCTCTGTCTCCATGAAAGCATACTCCACTAGCAGAGAATGTGTTACCTTTTGGTGAAAGTGAATTAATCCTTCAGTTACAAGATTAAATTAGTTGTGCTTGGTAGTTACTTTCTGTAACTGTTCTCAAATTAACACGCTTCTGCAACTCGTGCTGTAGTAGGTTTTTTTACTGTTGCTTATAATGGAGTATTTTGAAAATGTAACTGCGGATAATCAAACTTTCTCTTGCTACATGGTTATTCCTTATGCTTGAAATACTTGTAAATTGTCATTTGTGTCTCTGACATGAGCTTTCACACATGGAGGAAGGTTGGGAGTTGTGCTGGTATACCCGTAAGAATGGCTGCAAAAGAATCATAAAGCATTGTACCTGTTAGGAAAACATTCATTTACCAAGAGTCTTATGGCTGTATTGGGGAAATAGAGCAAATAATGTGGTTGTAGGAGGCTGTCTGAAGGGAACTATTCTCTGGATTTCAATTCAGCGTTCAGCATTTGTTGCAGAAGATTTTCCTTGTCTGCCACACGGGCTACAGCTGCATCTGGTGTTCTTTGCTCACCATTCAACATAATAAAGTTGCTTCCTTTGCTCCTTTTTCTCCTGCTACCGCCACTGGGGGAAATTACATTTCCCAAAGGTGAAGAATGTCTTCTGCTAAGCATGTATTAATGTCTTTTTCCAATTAGTTTTTGTCTCTGTTGGAAATGCTTACTTGCACATCTGCTGCAGAGTTGATACCTGAAAGAACAGGTAGCATTTGCAGCAAGCTTGCAGAACAAAACACTTCTGGTTCCTTATGCCACCCCATATTTTTTATTTGTTACTGGCAGAGGATGGTGAACCTGAAGTCCTGCTGCTGTAGTAGCTTGTGGAGTTGTTTTGTCTTTCTACAGGCTTGGTGGTTGTTTAGAAAGATACTTAATGGTGTAGAGAAGGAGGAGATAAGAAGGGTTGTATGTTCACAGGTCTGACAGAATATAGATTCATCTCATGGCTTTACTTTCTGAGCACTGAGCATCTAGCTGGAAATAAAAATCATAGAATCTCATAGAATGGTTTGGGTTTGAACGGACCTTTAAAGATCATCTAGTCCAACCCCCCTGCCATGGGCAGGGACACCTTCCACAAGATCAGGTTGCTCAAGGCCCTGTCCAACCTTGACCTTGAACACTGCCAATGATGTGCCATCCACAACTTCTGTGGGAAACCTATGGTTTGTAGAACCTAAAACACTGCCTTATAGACTGTAGTTGGTTGTTTGGTATTGAATTTTGAAAATTATTTTTGGTTTTCATTTTAGATGCATGATTGTCAATATAAAGAACATGGCTAATTTTGCAACTTGATTTAAACAGGATAATTTGAGTCACAAATGTTTATTTAGGTCCATGAAACTAAATGTTTTATGAAACCTAATGCAGAATTAAAATCTTACCTGATAATTTAATTTCAATTAATATAATAGGACTAAATAAGTTTCTGCATTTCAGTTAGTTTATTTAGCTGTAAAATCAATTAGTTTACACCTCTTGTTATGGACATGGTGTTCTGAAAAAGTTTTAATTAAAACATAACTACTTTGCAGTAAACTGAAGCATAATTTAATCTAACATAAAGAGTAAATGACATAAAGCACCTAGTATTTATTGTGGAATGCTGAAATGTGATAGCTCTCTAGCAAAATACCACACTGTTTTTTATGTACATGTTTGGTTTTTTTTGGTTTTGTGTTGGTTTGTTTGTTTTTTATAGTGTCCTGAATGCTTTCTGAGAGCCCAGGCTTCACTAATGTATAATTTCTTGGGCCATTGTGCACTGTAAATTAGTCTTCAGCATATCTAATTTTTCATGGAATGCAATAGGAATTTCCTGTGGATTTGTCACATCAAGTTATTTTTGAGGACTTAAACTCTCCAATGTCAATATTGATATTCCTGGGGATTATAATAGTAACTTTTATTCAGACTTGTGTTTTTCAGGTTTTATCATTTCTGCTTTGCCTTATGGCACAAAACTTTTTACTTCTTTGCATACTTACGTGAAGTTACTGTGTGAAGTAGAACTGAAGCTATTGGTATATGCTTAGCCAACAAAAAGCTTTTTCATATTTATGTTGCCTTGTCTTTTACAGGTTTTTTTTTGTAGTAGTAGTAGTGATACTGTATATGAGTTTATGAATGAAGTGACATATTCTGATGTATTTGCTTGCAATATGGTCTTGTTATTGAAGTAATTTGGAAGTTCCGCTGCTGAGAATATTAATTTGGAAATTAAATCTCTTCTTCTATTCTGTCTATTCTGTTTGCATGTGTTAGAGTTAAGAAGTAGTAATACAAATTCTGATGGGAATTTCTTAAAGACTGGAAAGGGGAGAGAGAAAAATTTTGTAAATAATTTTGATCTCTCAAAATTTTCTTGAGTATCACAGACTTGGTTTTAAATCCGAAGTGCTTGGGCTTTAGAAGGATGGTGAGGCATTATTTTACACTTGATAATTTGGTTTTCATCTTGTTAGTGGAAATGCTAGAGAATTACCTCTTGTGAAAGGACACCATCATGGGAGTGTCCTTTAACTTTTTATTTCTTCTAATTTGAAGTGTTCAGCCTTGTGTGGAGCTGTTTCAGAATTATGTTGTAGATATAGGCAGTTCATATTTCTTGTCTGTTTTACTTTGTCTTCCACAAACTCTTGTTGCAAGCTGCTTCTAACTAAAAATCTCTGCAACTTTTCTCCTAAGGTTTATTGGCATCCAAAGCTGTTGTTGCAGATGGTGCTGAAAAAAAGGAAGGCAACAAAGAAACAGCTCCAGTCCTGGAGCAGGTATGAAATGGTAGAGTTTGATTCTTTTGCAAAGTTCCCACTGGAGTGTGCCATGGAGATGTAGTACCTACAACATTAAAATTTGCCCCTTCAGATATAACAGGGAACTGAAAATTGTTCTTATGTTTACATTTCTGGCAGAGCCAGAAGTATGGAATTTAATTGTCTCTAAACACAGTGTTGACTTGAATTTCAGTAATGAGCTTTTGTGTTAGAAAACTAACAGAAAACAAAGAAAAATGAAGTCTCCAAGCAACAAGTGTGAGGAGACTGGTGCCCCAAGGTCCAGTTTTATAGCTGGAACCATGACCATGACTGGCTTAGGAAAAGACCCTTACACAAAATTAATTTGTGTTTGAAACAGGGTTTTTGACATCACATAGAACTTCTTTTAAAAGAAGTTTCTTTTGTATTGTAAGAATTTGGTGTTGTAGGGTTGTATGTGTTTTACGAACTGCTCGATGAGCCATACATTTTGCAGGGGTGTGTATTTTAATAAATACAAAAAAGAAACTTTTAAATAATGTTAAGGATCTGATTTTTAAACCTGCGTGTTTGCAGGACCTGAAGACTGTCATTTTATCTTTGGCTTATTCCATTGTGTTCAGGCGTTGCTTGACTCCAAGTTGTGCATTATCTTGCATATTAAAAGAGCTGAATGCCTAAGCATGGTAAAGTAAGCTAAGGATGAACAGTAGTCTTAATTCAGGACATCTTTGTTTTCCAATGATTTAAATCAGAGCCTTAATGTAGTTTTAATACAACTTTTTTGTATTCATTTTCATTCTTCTTTAACAGCAGCATTTGAATAAAATAGCCTTGCTGTCTGCAATTCTTAAAAGAGCACTTCCGTTCTGAAGCCCCGGCACACTCTATGAACAGTCCCTGCCCCAAACTTTATTTGCTGTTTTTGTTGTACTGGTTCTTTAGAGCTGATATATAATTGCATTGCTGTGGTTTTTCCATTGACACTGCGTTGGATGGGAGTCTTGTCAATGGAACATGATTTTCTGTTTTTAATGCTGTCACTGTAACGGCTAACGGAGCCATTATGGTGTCAATGCATTGACCGATATTTTGCATAAAGGTTTACAATGTATTGACATGACATTCCATTTCTCAAATTTTTGCATATTAAAGATGCTATGATTTTATTGCTTCTGTGTGTGATATTTTCAATGTGCAAAAAACTGTGAAATGGCTTACAGCATGTTGTTTTGGAAGAATCATTACAATGTAAATCTTATCATGCAGAATCCCATTACGGTGAATGGGACTTTGTGGTTTACATAGACTGTGTATGCAACAGTATAAACTTCAGTGCATATTTACTAAAACCTTTTTGTTACTACTTAGACTTAGTAACTCGGCTGTTTCTGTTTTATTGATTAGATATAAAAAAAGATGTCTCTGTCATGTTTACATGCTAATGGTCTGAAAAACCTCAGTTTTGGAAATACTAGTTAAGCTCCTTTAAAGAGGCATCTAAAATCCCAAATTGTCCTATTCCTTTGCTTCTAACTAAAAACAGAAACCTCATAAACATTTAAATGATTAACTGTGGGGAGGAAAATTTTTGAGCTTAAAGCTTTTTTCACTAAGTTCCTGCCCAGACTCAGATTAAAATGGCCGAGTTATAAACCTCCCCAAAAGATTTTTCCAATAGCAAAGCTGACATTCCTTAGAGGTTTTGTCTGCTACTGCTATAAAATTGAATGGGTAAAATATCTTGTAGGGTTTTTTTAATAATGTAATACAGAACATGGTAGAAGTGTTCAGGCCAATAGCCGAAAACTGACTTTGTTGATGGAAGTTTATTTTATTTATATATTTTTAGTTTACAGTTGTCTTAAACCCAAAACCTCAGATGATTAGTTGCAGATACAGTAGTTTATTTAACTGTATTAGGGTATGTCATGTTATATTTCCTTTTGACCAAGACCTGATTAGATGAATAACATTAATTCATTAAGGTTTTTAATGTTAATTTGTCCTGTTAAGAGGTTAAGCACCTTATCAAAATATTAATTTAATTTTTTTAATCTTGTTTAAATAACTTTGTAATTTGAAAGTAATGGATGCTGTAGTAATGTCTTTCACATCTGTGAAGATGAACAATAAAATTGTTTATTTACAAGTTATGACTCTAATTAATTTCTGGTAATACCTTTCATAACCAGCATAGGTATATTCTACAGTTCATGGAATATTTTATTTAAATGAATAAATTGCAATTAGTACATGTGTAATTGAGTTATTCAAGGTAGAACTGATGTCTACTGAATGGGACGTTTTGTACCGGATCTTTACGAGATACTTCCAGTTGTTCATGTAGCTTTCAGGGGTGCCCTTTTACAAACACAGAATGTGCACTTGTGGTTTTTTGTTTTGCGTTTTTTTTCTCCATTGGAACATGGAAAGTTCCAGTGGAAAATAAAACTGCGATTTATAACATAAGCTAATAAATACTTTCATGTCATCAGAGATGTGACCTTTTTAGTTTGGATAAAGTGGTGCACGTATTCTAGAAATATCTTTCTACTTTACTAGCTATGATTTTATTAGGTGGTACTATGCTGTGTGATGTAACTGGGACAAGAAAGGGGACAGGTTTAAGAAATTATGTTCAGATATTGTAGTTTGCCATTATTGGGCAAGTTGTAACACATGAACAGTTTATTCAGTAAAGTAGGAAGAACTTCCTTCCAGTTAAAAATCTAAAGTGCTAATGTCTGTCAATGCATGCTAATTGTCTAAAAATAATACTTCAGTATATGTGTTAAGAAGGATGAAAATTGACGAAATTGGAAAGCTGCATTATATGCTGATTTCTTTTTTTTTTCCTCTTTTCTTCAAAAACTGTTTTAACTCTATCTGCTCATTTTTCCCCAACAGTTAGCAATCTATTTAACCCTGTGGTGCTAGAAGTTGTGATTTCTTCATGTGTTTGCACAAACATATAATGTGGTGAAATCCAGACTCCCAGCACTGAAAGGGGTTGTGTGAGAGTGTGTTCTGTATCTGGAAAATTTTTATTGCTTTCAGACATTCCTTAAAGGAGCATTATCAACTTTTTCAGGTTCTTCTCTAAAAATGAAATTCATATTAAAGTTTTGCTGAGGAACTTTTAAAGATTTTTTTGCTATGGTCAGGAAAATGACTGAAGGGAAAATCTTGGCAACTTTTTTTAGAACTGCAATCCTCTGAACAAGGATTGCTTATTCATAGCAGTTCAAAAGCCTGTCAGAGTTCAAGGAGTGTCTGGTTAATGCTTTTAGTCATATGGTTTAGTTTTAGGTAGTCCTACGAGGAGCAGGGAGTTGGCCTCGATCCTCATGAGTGTCTTCCAAATTGCGATATTCGATGATTCTATGATTGTACATCAGTGTATGTATTCTAGCTTGTAGTAAGTGTTCTTCAAGTTATACTTTGAGACAGCACTGACAGTCCTGAAGATGAAGGACGCAGAAACTAATAAGACTCTAGTGAATTTTTAAAATGGGAATAGAAGAAAAATGTTTTGTTTTCAGGCTTTTTGCGAGTATTTCACATAGTAAGAAATGAGGGTGTTCTGAATACTGAAAATAATTGATAGTGCTCTTTTAAAAAAAAAAGTTTAATGTGATGCATTTTAAATAGTTTTCATTTGTACTGAAAATAATGTTGCTTTAAAATGTGTTTTGAATACTAAAGTTGCTTTTAAAAAGATCAAAATAGAATACAAGAACTACAGCGAAGAAACTGAAATAAAAGTATCAATTTTTTATTATTTATTCAGGAGATTTCACCTAAACCACAAAGTCAGAAAAAAAATGAAGCTGATATTAGCAGTTCTGCCAACATTCAGAAACCTGCACTGTTATCCTCAACTTTGTCTTCAGGAAAGGCTCGCAGCAAGAAATGCAAACAAGAATCTGGAGATTCTTCTGGGTGTATAAAGCCCCCTAGATCACCACTTTCCCCAGAATTAATACAAGTCGAGGATTTGACGCTGGTCTCTCAGCTTCCTTCTTCTGTGATAAATAAAACTAGTGAGCACAGACATTTTAAAAAAAATACCGTAATTACTTATAAGAGATATACAGAAATTTATTTTTTTTTTGGTTGTAAATGGCTATTGCTTTTAAAAATGAATCTGCTTTAAATAAAAGGTCCAAGTGGGAGAATTAGGGGTAGCTCAGTATTTTAAAAGTCAAGTCACATAATAAGGCATATGAATTTCTCTACTGGAAATAATACATTTAAATAATATATTTATATTTATA